AGAAACCGTATAAATGTATAGAATGTGGGAAGACCTTTAGTCAGAACAGTAACTTTCGTTCACATCAAAGAACGCATACCGGGGAGAAACCATATGAATGCATTGAATGTGGAAAGAGCTTTAGTCAGAGCAGCTATCTTAGTTTACATCAAAGAACTCACACTGGGGAGAAACCATATAAATGTGTTGACTGTGGAAACAGCTTCAGTCAAATCTATTACCTCCGTTCACATCAAAGAACACACACTGGGGAGAAACCATATAAATGCCTGAAATGTGGAAAATGCTTCAGTCGCAGCAGTAGCCTTAGTTCACATCAAAGAACACACCCAGTGGAGAAACCTTTTGGATCAGAAAATCTGGCAAGCACCTCAATGAGTTCAGCTTTGCTTCTCAAAGAAGCCACACAGAAAGCATTTAGATCAGGAAACATACAAAGGTCCCCAGTCCATTCACCCATTAAATTCTCCCAAAGAGGTGAGGTGAACCAGTCTTATTTATTTGTTATGTGGAAAGCCCTTTGGGCAGTAATTATATTTGATATCACATTGAGGAACCTACAACGGTGCAAATGTGTACACCTTCTCCATAGTCTGAGCCTTTTTTCCTGGATCCAGAAAGAAATAATAAATTTTGCAGAGATAGTAGAAAGGGAAAGCATAAAAGAGAAACTTGGAAGTCGATTGTTATTGGAATCTGTGGCAAAGGCAGTGATGGCCATTGGTTTACACATTTGTATGAACCGTGTTCATTGGGAAATTTACCAAATTTTTTATGATCTTGACTTGCCAAAGATCTTCATATTTGTCAGTTCCCTTTTCACCACATACCTTTCACAAACATCACTGTTCCCTCTTGGGAAAATTGTAGTCTTTCATGACTGACCACTGGGTACCTGTAGAGGGGATACTAAACATCATTTTTGCTGGTATTTGTCCCTAGTTTGATGGATAGATCTTTTCCCACTGCAGTCGTTGGGCCAGTCTTCCTGTTTCTGTGCTTCCTCTTTTTCCTGTTCTTTCCCCCCCGCCATCTTTTGGGAAGCAAGCATTAAGACGTTATCCAGACTGAAATCCACACTTTATCCCTTCTCTTCTGATTGTAACTACAGCTGATAACTGTGAGTAAATGTCACTTCTTCTAAAGATACAACTAGTGATCCTTTTACTATGACTTGCAATAGACTCTGTGTTGGGAAAATTGTAAGTAAAATTCAGCACCATTCCTACTCCTTTCATATAAATATTCCATATATTATTAACGTCTTGATGTATAACCAATGTACAATTTTATAACCATTTCTCCGAAGCAACCACTCAGGTTTAGCTTACAGAAGGCAGACTCATATTGATGTTTGGCCTTAAGGTGAAGCCAGCTGAGGATGGGGTAGAACATGATCGTTTGGAGCTCCAAGACCTTTTTAATTTATTACTTTATATTAACAATCTGTTCAAAATACATTATTTAAGTCTTACCTGTTGTGAGGTGAAAGGGCTTGTCTGGAGGAAGGAAAATAATATATTACAGCTGAAGAACTAAACTTCTCAAGATCTTGGAAGGAGATGCATTTCACTAGGATGAGCTTAAGATGACTCAGGAATTGTTCCTTACTAAGACATGCAATCAGAAATCTTCCCCACAGTTTGTGTTCCAGGGAGCGTTGGTGAGACTGGGCTAATCTCCCACTGCTGTGTGTGTGTGTGTTGTTTTTTTGCCTTGTCCTGTGCTGACAAAAGGAATAACCAAATTCTTACAACAAAACAATTAATTTATGGAACTGATGGCTGCCCAATTAAATTGATGTGATCTACGCCATCTTTTACCAACAATGCCTCTTGTAATACAGGAGGTGAGAGCAAGATCCCTCTCATGGGAGTGCCATCCCTACTGCCAAGAAGGAAAGCCAGACCCCCCACCCAGGAAGACAAGACCTGCCGGACCTGACCTGGGAAGGATAGAGATTTGAAAGATTTAACGGTTGAGGAGACAGGGAATGTGTTGGCGGGAACAGAGCAAAAATAAAGGATAGTGGTGGAGGCGGGATTAGCGGATATAAAGGGGGGCGAAGTAGGACTTCCACCAGGTTGGGAGTGGATATGGGTAGAAGACTCCTGGACAGGGAAGGTGGAGAAGTTACAGGTCCCAAAGGAGGAGACTGATGTGAGGAGGAGACGGGAAAGTACTCCTAAGAAGTCCCTCAATGTCAATAAATCAAGTCCCACTTCACTCGGTAGGTCAAAGAATCAGGAAAGGATTTGCAACTACACTTTTCCTGCCATGCTCTCAATAAAACACACTAAGTGTGGAGTTGATTTTTTAAAAAATATATGCGTTAGAGATTACAATGTGTGTGTGTTTTTTCCAGCCCCTATTGAAAGCATTGATGTGCTTTCTGCCAAGTGGAAAGCACTCCGGGCTGCAATGCCTCTTAGGATTTGCAGTTCTTTGGGAAGTGCTTTCTATAGGGGCTGAAGGACAGAAAACTTGAATGCCCAGGAAGCATTGCAGCAGGAAATGATGATCTAAAATGCTTGCACAGATGTCCAGACCTTCTTACGGATGAGGGAATAAAGGTGTTTTAAGGTGGGAGTCTATGACCTGAAACACCCTGAATCCTGCCTGGGAGATTCTGGGCGGTTGGAGTCCAAATAATCAAATTGGCACATCCCTGGAAAATAAATCTCTGTTCCTGCTTTCCTACCAGTTGTGCACTCCATCATTAACTGCCTTTCCTCATATACATGGGGAAAAGAAGACTGAATGTGAGACGGATAGACTCAGTTAAGGAAGGCACAGTCTTGAATTTGCAAAAGCTGAGAAGGGCTGTTGAGCTCCCTCCTTCATAGGGTTGCTGTATGCTGGTGGTGATTTGATGGCCCTTAATAACATTATTATTAGGGATATGATAGCACTGCAGGTTAAACCACAGAAGCCTCAATACTTCAGCGGTCAGCTTTCTTTATGGTCCAGCTCTCGCTTCCATACATTGCTTTCCTTACTTTTTCTTGGGCTCCATGATCATCGCAGAGTGACAGCAGCCACGAAATTAAAAGACGCTTGCTTCTTGGGAGGAAAGCGATGACAAACCTTGACAGCATCTTAAAAAGCAGAGACATCATCTTAAACAACAAAAATCCCCATAGTCAAAGCTATGGTATTTGCAGTAGTGATGTACGGAAGCAAGAGCTGGATCATAAAGAAGACCGACCGCCGAAGAATTGATGCTTTTGAATTGTGGTGCTGGAGGAGGCTCGTGAGAGTCCCCTGGACTGCAAAGAGAATAAACCTATACATTCTAAAGGAAATCAAGCCTGAGTGCTCACTGGAAAGACAGATCTTGAAGCTGAGGCTCCAGTACTTTGGCCATCTCATGAGAAGAGAGGACTCCCTGGAAAAGACCCTGATGTTAGGAAAGTATGAAGGCAAGAGGAGAAGGGGATGACAGAGGAGAGGGAGGGACAGTGTCATCGAAGCGACCAACATGAATTTGACCCAACTCTGGGAGGCAGTGGAAGACAGGAGGGCCTGGCTTGCTCTAGTCCATGGGGTCACAAAGAGTCAGACACAACAACTAACCAACAACAAACCTGGTAAGGCTGGTGTACAAAGTTTAAATTACACAGCTAAAGAGTTCTAAGCTTAAATAAGTCAGTAATTGGAAATCTAGGAACAGAAGCTTGCCCACAGTTGCCCACTCACACACCTTCTCGGTCTCACCCAATCTAGAGAAAAGGTGGTGGAAGCTGGGAACTAGAGTTTGGCTCCTTCTCCTAGTAGAATGACTTCTCTAAGGGGACGCGTTCCTGACAAAACCATAAATTCAGAGCCCTGCAACAGGTCATCCACATTATTGTCTCTGTTCTTTCAAAAGCCAGAGATGTTCTTTCAAAATTTCCTTTATTTTAATCTGGGAAGAGCATGAAAATAGCTGACAGTTGCAGGTCCTTAATTCAAAGTGTTGTCATTAAATCGATGAATTATGGAGTGAACAGAACCCTGCTGAGCCCAGTATGTGCTGAGAATCTGACCGGGAGCATGAAATCCAGTGGCAGCAAATATATTACTGGTCACCCTCGGAAAGAAGCCGGGATCATAATTTTAAAAGTTGGTGTCAACTGTCCAATCAGCAGCTGAAATCTTGCTTCTTCTTGGGGTGGTAAACCACAGTACAATAAATTAACTGATTCAATAGAAATTAAGTAAATCAGCGCTTTAGGTTCCATGGACGGGGCCATTTCTAGTTGCCACTTCCTGTACTATACTATGTTGCAATTAGAGTAGGCCTATTGGAATCAATGCAGTTTAGGGGGGATTTAACTCACCTAATCCCAAAGACTGGCTGACTCCCGAAGAGTCAATGGGCCTTCTTTGGTGCAACTTACTATCCAAAGTAAAATGATTTTATCCATTGTATACATCTCTGGTCTTTAATTTTTTAAAATAGCCTCAGACACAGACAACGCAGGGAAGCTGAGAAATCAAATGAACACACACGGGACATTTGTGGGTAAAAACAGAAAACCAAATACCTATAAATCTCCAGACAATTTTCCCCCCTTAGACGACCGGTTTCCTCTATGCTGGAGATTCTGTGTTGCTCCCAGAATTCTCTGCAAATCCTAGAGTAAAATTTTCCACAGCTGTTCCATTGAAAAGCAACGAGCTGGGAGTGATAAAACATAATGAAAAGCTTATAATTGCAATTAGCAGCAGGCTTCCAGGAGAAAGAAACAGAGACTTCCAAGGAAAGGCTCCTTGCTTCTCCTCTGGTTTTCCTCAATGATTTATTTCATTTCTTCCAACTCTGTAACTAGATGTTGAGATTTCCTGGGCCATTCAGGTCATCTGGGTGAGTTAACGGGAATATTGGGAGCTTCTCAGAGGGAACAGAAGGTGAAACAGAGAAGGTGGCTTAGCAATGGAGGATAATGCAGAGACAGAAACTGTGTGTGTGTGTGTGTGTGTGTGTGTTCTTCCCCATGTGTTTGACGTGAGGTAGGAGAGAGTTTCTGCAAGGGTCCCTTTTGAGACATACAAGCCACAGAATCCTGTGGATGATGGACAGATGTTCTGGCCCGTATTTCAAAAGAAGAAGATGTGGACTCTCAGTAAAGAGGCTGACATTTCACTTGTGATCCTTCTCTCCCTTCAACTGTTGTTCCCCCTTTCGCTGCAACCAGCCTTGGTGTCTTCCAGTCCTCTATAGTGCTGTTTCTGTTACTTTACACGTGAGGAGCTGAACCTTCTCAAAGCCCCACATTATTGAGCAAGGAGAATCCCTCATCCTCCATGTTTCTTCCTGTTGTTAACTGCCAATCAAGTCACCTGCAACGTATGGTAACCCAATGAATTAGCGGTCTCTCAAATGCTCTGGCCTTACCAGCCCTGCTTGGCTTCTCCAAACTCAGTGCCCTGCCTTTCTATGCTGAATCAACTTATTTATTTATTTATTTATTTAGCGGTCTCTCAAACACTCTGGCCTTACCAGCCCTGCTTGGCTTCTCCAAACTCAGTGCCGGTGCCTTTCTGTGCTGAATCAACCTATCTCATATTTTGTTTTCCAGTTGCTCGTTCACCTTTACCAGGAAAGTTTTGGATTATGGACAGAACTGGTAGCAAAAAAGAAGCACAGATTTATTTTCTCAGGCCATGCCGTTTGGATTTTTTGGACTCCAGCTCTCAAAATTTTCAAAAAAAATTCTGCAGGTGAAATTTCAGTCCAGAGACTCACACCTTCAGATACCAATATTTCCCTCATCTCCAAGCTGGGCCTCATACTATGAAGGCTACACTTTCATTCTTGATTTCCTGCTGCAATGCCTCCTGGGTGTTGTAGTCTCATAGCTCATTTTGTTCTCTAGGGCAGTGGTCCCCAACCTTGGGCCTCAAAAACTACAATGCCCAGGAATTATTGCAGGAGGAACTGAAGACCTGGGCTGCAGCCTCAAAGACTAGGCCTTGCAACAGGTGAGGGAAAGGCAGGTGTTTGAAGTTGTGAGTCTGTGACACCGGGATTCTCAAAATTCTGCCAGGGGAATTCCTAGATAATTTGAGGAGTTGGAGTATAAGAGATTCAAATTATCACATCCTTATTGTCTTCTCTCCGTGGGGTGAGGGAACTTTATCCCTCACATCTGCAAGCAACTGTGGTCCCAACGGTAGCCCTAAAAGGATTGTGCTCTATTGTGGCAGGCGCTAAAGGAGGGGTGAGCTCTGAAAAAAAAAATACCATGGAAGGAAAGGCTCCTTTTGAGGGTGAAGAGAAGCAGTTACGGAAAGCAAGCAACGAAGGAGAAGACAACAGCGATGAAGGTATTTCTCTCCCTTCAGAGGTCCTTCCAAATCTGCACGATAAAGATTTTTTTAAAAACACCATGAAGTAAATGACAACATGTAATTAAATTTAGATGGTTACGTTCAGAGGTTTGTATGCCAGGCACATTTAATGTTCATCCCACTGTCAAAAAGAAAAAAAGAAAGAAAAAAGAGTAAAACGAAACCAAAAAAAGGAAGTTGAACTGATTTCTGCCCCATCCAAGCTGATCTGCCAAATTGAGATTTTATACAATATAAACATTTTATATCTGTTTGATCTATTTTTATATGGACCTCATAGTTATTAGTCCCAACCGAGCTTATTTTGGTTAGTATGTTTTGATTTGTCTGAATCCAAAGCATTGAGAAATTAAATTTTCCATAGTGTGAAGAGGGACAAAGGTTTTCTATTTAATTACACATGCTAATTAACTTAAGTGTATACATTCCTTCATTTTCTGGACCTTCTAACTTGAATACTGAACAAGCAGTGTATGTTAGATCAGGGGTCCCCAACCCTCGGTGTGTTGCCTGATGCCGGTCCATGGGCTTCCTGGAACAGGACCGCGGGGATGGTGAGCGTGTCATGCTCACGAGTGGGCATGTCGCACTTGTGGAGTGTGACACGCCCCTCTGTGAGCATGAGACGCCCACCTGCAAACCTGACAAGCCCACCCACAAGCACATGGATGCCCCCGGCCCCACACACGGAGCCCGCACCCCTCCAACCAGTCCACAATCCAAAAAAGGGTTGGGGACCACTGTGTTAGATGATTTGATCCAGTCTTATGCTTGACTTTTATATTTTTACGCAGTGTCAAGTCAAATAGTCCTTATGAAGACCATTTTAAGGGTTGGTTAGGTAGCAAGCATTCAGAAGTGGTGTACCTTCTGATCATTTTGAGGGGAACTCCGGGACTTTACGGCTTGTCCAAAGCTATGCTGGCTGGCTCTTTTCCTGGGAGGTGTAGTAGGGAGTCAAACTTCTGGCTTCTGGATCCACAGTCAGATAATCAATCAATTAAGCTTTGCAGCTAATGGTATTTGATTTAGACAAATGAAACTTACTACTCTTCATTACTCAATCATGAGACACTTCATGCTTTTAGCTCCACCTAAAGTGGAAGTGCTATTAGTGGGTGCTTCGCCGGACAGGCTGGAGGGCCATTTCCCTGCCCTGAATGGGGTTACACTCCCCCTAAGGGACAGGGTCCGCAGCCTTGGGGTGCTCCTGGACCCCAGTCTAACTCTGGAAGCCCAGGTGGACTCGGTGGACAGGAGCGCCTTCCTTCAGCTGCGGAAATTATACCAGCTACAGCCCTACCTGGACAAGCGGCGTCTCATGACAGTTACACACATACTGGCAACATCTAGCATAGATTACTGCAATGTGCTCTACATGGGGCTGCCTTTGAAGACAGTCCAATGACTGCAACTGGTCCAGAATTGAGCTGTGTGGCTGGTTAGTGGTGGGGCCACTAGGGGACACATCAAGCCGATTCTGTTTAAATTACATTGGCTACCAGTTGCTGCCCGGGCCCAATTCAAAATGTTTGTTTTGACAGTCGCCTCCTTCCATATGAACCTACCGGGCAGTTAAGATCTAGCCATGGGGCCCTTTTGAAAGAGCCATCCTTCAAGGAGGTAAGGGATGGCTTGTAGGCAAAAAGCCTTTTCAACAGCT